ATACAATAGGTTGCCATCGCGATGCTCGCGCTATATGACGAATTTTGACGAATTTGACACTTACTGGCAAAATGGCGGCTATAAAAAAATCTCGGACATAATTTTCGCAGAGTGACACATCTTTATAGTATCTAATCTTTGATCAAGTTCCCTTGAGCCTGCTCCCTTGGGCCTGCACGCGGGCTAGGACTGTGGAAGAGTCAGACAGTCAGACACAATTACACAAAATTGACAAAAAGTCCAAAACATGACCATGACGAGCATGATGTCTCGACATCTGCAGTTTAGAAATTATTTCAAAGTCATGGATGTATTACGTTGTAGTAACAAGAGACATTCTATGTCGTGGAGTCAAGTAAGATGGTGTTTGTTGTGTGAGTATACAAATATAAAATATATTGCACTAACGAAGTCACATGGAATTCCATATTTCGTTTTATGCGCAGGCAGCGCAGCAAACTGCCAATAGCCGAGCCAATAGCATTACTTGCTATTACCAAAATGTTTGCAACGCAAGTTGCATCAAGCATTGCACAAGGTAGAAGAGACCTCAACTTTTTTTAGCATTGGGCCACATTTTAGAATATGTAAATTGCATGATGCACCCCCCCCCACCGCTATAAAGAAGGGTGCATTAGGGTGCAATGCAACTTAATGAGTTAACATTTGCATATTAAACAGGGTTTGTACACAACCTGGAAAACCCTGGATTTTTATTTTAGTCCTGAGAAACCCTTGAAAACCCTGGAATTTCAAATTTATCTCTGGAAAACACTGGAAAACTGAGAAACTGAGCTGGGTATAGCTATGATCATGTGCATACCTAAACTATCACTATCTTAAAAAGTAGGATTGAGACCACTGAGCTATACTATATTACTGGAGGACCTGCTCGGGATAAAAAAGTGTCCGCAAAAACATGGCGGATCTTACGCCATTTCCATGACAACACTTACTTTATTTTCATGGTAATTGCCACTGACCAACCGCGATCCTAAGCTTTCGAAGATATCCTTAACCCCCCTGGCACAGAGTAGAGACATACAGAGACGTAACTAGTGTACCCACTTTTTTTGTGCGCATGCTCGGCAAGTTACTAGATGCATGCATCTGATTGGATGACGACCTGATGACGACTCACTTTAAACTTGCTGAGCACGCGCAGTTGATCATTTTTCGCCCAGTCGTCTGAAAATAAGTGGGTACATGATAACGTAATCTTCCGCAGTGTTTACAACGGTCAGTTACGTCTCTGTATGTCTTATCTACTCTGTGCCCCTGGTTTTTGCACAGATATATTTAAAATAATAGTAAATATAAAGATATTTTAAGTTTTCTGTTGTTTTTGAGCAAAAATCTTAATATTTCCCTTGCACATTACTTGTTTTACAACGCCAGTTTGCTTCGCTTGTGGATGCAGCACTTTACTACAAAGAAACTAAAAAGAAAGACTAATTCTTTCAGGTAAGATTCACGAAACTTTTTTATATTAAACTTTCTAGACGACTAGCTAGTCTGAGACTCTGAGTCGGTCACTAGACCCTTCATATATTATGTCAAAAACTCATCCTCCTATTAATATATACAGCAATATATTCACAATATTGTTAATGATTAAATATTGTGTACTACATGAAATTAATATGTTGTTTTCAGTGTCAGCACTGGCCTTTGTGGTTTTATTGCCAGACAGAGACTGCCAGTTTTTAATTACTTGTATAAATTGTGGTTGTTTACATGTTCATAAAGGTTTAATATGGTGTGAAATTTATATACTTGCCCATCATAATGCAGAATTAATATATATAGATAGCACAAGACCAGAGAGACTTGAGTAGAGGAGGCCCACCTACATTTGACAATGTGCCCTAGCTGTTCTGATGAGCCCTATATAAAAGACTAGCTGTCTTTATTGTTTTACTCTGTCTGTCTAATGCCAGATGATTTTAAGAGGAGACTGTTCATGCTCACTGCTGCCTCGCAGTGGGTTAATTTAATACACTATCTGCCAATGAGCAGCCCCTGAGATATATCGGTCAGCCCATTAAGCTGCAAAATTATGTGCCCAAATGAACCCTAGCTACTTTCTTACTGGGACTGCAGAACAGGAGGGGCATGCTCCCCCCCACACTTTTTTGGTGGATAATAAAAATTACCGGATAAAGTCTGGACAGCGCCTGCCTGTGTGGATTAGCTCCCATGCTATCCTGCCCCCCCCCCCTTTTAAACAGGCTCCATGGTCCCTGTTTTATTTTACTCTATCGGTGAGACTAAATCCAGATGTTTTACTCATCAAGGGAAGAGTCTTAAAAAATAGATAACATTTTACCATTGTCTGTTCAGAACTATATAAAACTATGTAGTTTACACAGTATATGATGTCATAGTTTGGAAGTGGTGATGTCCGATTGCTCTGTGAGAAATTATGACAAAATTTGCTAATAATAGTTTGACATATTTTAGCAGTTAGTTGGGAATGTAATTGCATTGCTGAATATGAAAACACAACACTTAATTTATAAGCTCGGATCAATAGACTGTTGAATTGTCTGAAATAATACAGTAAGACAAAAATAATACAGTGAGGCACATCAAAACACATTACCACTTGAAGGGTTAACATATGTGTATATCATTATGATATTTTGTGGTATAATGTATCATGATAATAATGTTGTCTTTTTTTGCAGAAATGATCTGTTTATTAATATATACAAAAGAGATGGCACAGGCATCAACATGCAGAGGAACATGCAGAACAATTACAAAATGAAGTTATAATTACAATACCATGCATAACAATTAATTATAATTAATAAATAATTATATGATTATCATAATTTTATTGAAGTGTAAATAAGTTTTGTAGCAATTAAAATTATACATTTTTGTTTTTTAAATTGTTTACTGCTAATAATTTTACAAAAAGTCAAGTACACCCTTTCAGAATGTATGTACTTTGGCTATGGAGCCTTGTTTTCATGAATGTGGCATGAGTTTTAGTCCAATGTCTCAATCATGAAAATGACTTTATAATCTATAGCCAAGGTGACATTTTCAGGAAGCATGTAAAATACAGTATGTTCAGTTTCCAAAGATGTGGCTTGGTACTGTATTCTGCCACCCACAAAGGAGTGTTTCATTGTGGAATAAATCTGCAATAAAAAGAATAGATTAATTGTACAGGTTGTACAAGAATCCACCAGTAACATAATTATAGCATATGATCAAGGTAAACAAAAGAATGTGACCTAACATACTCCTCAGCTTAAACCAGGGGTATCAGAACTATGAGTGTACTTATAAAGTACATTGTTTATTCAGAGTGATATTTACTGAGAAAACTTGTAAGAAAACAGGCCATCCTGGGAATGAGGTGCGATCACACATGTATGCCTTGGCACACACCTCAGCTAAACCTTATTACCTCAGCTTAGGGAAAAGTGTGATTTATCTCAAGCCTCTATATGACTATTTAGATGACACAACAATCAAGAAGTATCCCCAACCATGCAAGAAAGCTAGGTAGAAACCACCAATTCCCAGATCAGCTTGACAGCTTAAAGCACCCCCAGCTTATACATAAATTAAATTAAGTGGTGCATAACACAAAACCTAATTCCCTCTTTTAAAAGATAGTCTGATAGTAGATGTCAAATAAGATATAAAAGTCTAAATAAAATTGAATATGAAAATACTTTTTTTACCTTTGTAAATCCGAGTGTAAATCTATATATTTCAAGTATCGTCTTTTCCCACATTTCTTGAGTTTTTAAAATTAGTTTGTCGTCTTTCACGGGCGAGATTAAACACGTACGACTTGGATATCTTTGACCAAATGGTCAAAGGCAGAAAGTTTATCTCGAAAACATTTTAAAAAAGGATTCAAAACAACGAGAAGTCGAGAACTATATTATCTGCAAAAATGTTTTGCAAAAACCAGGGGTGTGTGAAAACGGCCGTCGGCTCAGAATTGAGCCTGGTAAGTGGTACCTAACATAAAAATAAAGTTAAGTGTTGTCATGGAAATGGCGTCATTTTCACTCAAAATCCGCCATGTTTTTGCGGACACTTTGTTGACTGAACGAAGTATAGGAGCAGGTCCTCCAGTTATTATACAGCTCAGTGTGTATTATAGGTAATCGCATAGGGCCGAGTAAAATTAAGGTTTAATTTCACGCGTGTTTTCAAACGAGGCCAATTTGTGAAACTTTGAAAACACAAGTGAAATACTGAAATTAAACTGTAATTTTATGAGGAACTATATGCGATTACTTGTTAATCATACAGAGGGCAAAATTTATTCGTAAGTTAATTGTGAATTTGTTAATTATTCAATGCCTTTACCATCCGCAACGGCAAAGCAAGAAGCTATTGTTTTTATATACCTATTTAAAACAACAAAATTACCGCGATTGCGTCTCAGCCAATCAGGTGCAAGTATTTTTGCCCTGAATTAAGAAAAAATGCCCTCTTCATTAGCCAATCATATTTGAGTAATTTTGCCCTCTTTATGATTAGGTATATAACCTACAGTAGCTGTTCCGGAATGTAACGACGTCAGTTTCGCGTTGTCCAACGGGGTTGTAGACAGGTGTTGTTCATTGATTTATTGACACTTTTTATATTTCACAGATCCACAGGACTGGAAAGAACAGAAACTCATGACGCTAAAGCAAACTTTATTGGAGACATTTTGAAGCTTTTATTAAAGGACGAATGTAGCCAGACTGTTTTTGACAAATTGTGCAAAAGGTATAATTTCTGAGTATAATTAACCAATTGCTGACGCAGCGAGCGAGCCTGAAGCGAGCGAGCAAGTCAACAGTTCTAATTCGTATTGGGCTCTGAAAGTAAGATTTTACTTCCGTTTCTCCGACCAGAATGCACTGCTGTTAACCGACCAGAATGCATTGCTGTTAGCCGACCAGAATGCTTTGCATGCACGATGCTATAAATACGGGGAATCTCATTAGTTTACTGTATATAAGCCGGTAATAATGCAGTTCTTTTGGTGTATTTTGTATTTCATTGTATGCGTGGTCTGTTGATTTCTGGCTGGTCTGACACTATTTCTTTTGTCTTTTCTTATTTCATTTGGCACTTAGCAGTAAAATCAACATTGTATATATTTGCACGTCTGAAAGCGTTCATTTCGAGCATTAAAAGCGAATCAATTGTCCATCAGTTTCACTTTGCTATAATTTAAACAGGGTTTAGGTTTTAGACCTTTTGTTTGAATATGATTTGACAATAAGGTAATTGACACGGAGACATAGCAGTCCGGCAAATGCCAACTATGTTTATAGCATGGCGTTTTAAAAGAACGATGCTTTGCGTGCTATTTCTTGGGTTAATTAAATGTACTTTGGCTGACAAAAAGCATGCACACTACAGTAGTTTTCGAAGTAACGTGGCTTTAATTTGGCGTCCTTGGATGCAAGTTTTGCTCCATGACCATGACAATGTTGTTCGATATTCAGTTCTTAAACGATCGACTTCGCTTCAGTAAAATCAAAAGAAAGGCAATTTGGCGAAGAAGTATATTCAAGCGAAGTAAAACATCAGCTAAGCACTTCACTTTACTCTTTCTTTAGCCTGGTTCACGTATGCCTATAACGGTATACCTGCGCTATCATTGTTCACAGCTTTTTAGAGCAGTTGTTGTCAATAGCACGCCGACATACCGCAGGTGTAAGTAGGTATATGTGAACCGGGCTTTTGTGTTTACTATAGCCATTTAAAAGTCCTCGCTTTATCAGATAAGTCATTCGAGCTGCGCTCACGTGCTTTATATCTGATAAAGCACTCCTGCTCGCGTTTTAAATAGTACATACCGGACAGTCCGCGCTCACTGTACAGTTGTGGTACCTTGTGATAGTTTGAAGTACATGTGTGGTCTTTAATAGTGATACAGTGTATCGTTGTGTAATTAAAAGCACTGAATAATCTGTGTGCTCTTAAAATAATTATTGGCTGATATTGTGGTCTATATTGAAAAGGTTCCAAAAATGGGTGCAAGTTTCCATACTATTGTCGTTCTGATGTCACAGATATTAGAGTAACGGTAGGATAGAAAGATTAAAAAAAGTTTATGGTTAGATTCTCATGTTTCGCGCACAATAGAGCTAGGGTTAGGGATGGGTTGTGATTACGGTCAAGATCAAATATATCTATTTGTGACCGAAACAAGGATTTATTCATATGTACAATAATGACGTCACAACGATTAAGTTAGTGTTGAGCTTACTGTCAGTTACCATGGGTTAGGAGCTCACGAGGTTGTATTTAAACTGGGGTGCGTTGTTAATTTGGAAAAATGAGGCCGTTTTTTTATATATCGTCAAATTAAGGAGCAAGTCAGCACTTATACTACTGATAAGTATACTAGTTTATACATTGTGCACGTATGTGTGGAAACATGATAAAATTAGATCATTGTTCTTTCGCAGGAGAAACGAAATTAATAAATACTGAAAAAGTGTGAAATCAGTTAATTAAACGAGTTTTTGTAACTGAACTCTTTCACCGACTGGTATAATTTCAGGAAATATAAATAAACTAAAGTCATTCTGAAAAAAGAGTGGATGTTTACAATACAATCAGTTGTGTATTGTAATGATGCGCAAATCTTTCGGAATAAAATGAAGTTCCTGTAAAGTCTACTATTTAGGCACCGATCCAGAAATTATGGGGAAGTCAGCCGTTTGTCAACTTCCATTTTACAGTAGGTTACATGCGCGATTTTTTCTCGCGCCGGCAACGCAAAAGATCAAATTTCATTGTGTTGCTGGCGCGAGAGAAGAAATCGCACGTGTTTCATGGCTGCGCGGAAACGTAATTGTAACTTGATACATTTGGCAATCGTTGCTGAAGTTAAATCCATTTAACGTTCGGCAACGATTGCCGAAAATATCAAATTTCAACGATGTTGAAGTTTATTTGAGTAATTTATTTCAGACTCAAAAACAGCTTCGAAAACTTTTTTACCTTTCCTGTTCCATTGTATCTTGTTGAGTACTTTTGCAATTCATTTTCGGTCTATTCTTTCGTGCACGTGTTTCTTAATAAATACGGGATTAAATGGCACTGTATAATTGCTCTTACATTGTTTTACCAAGGAACCGTAGACAAACAGAAAATAATTGAGAAATCAAGAGAGTGCATTATTATATTTCCCACGTGTTATATGTTTAAATATATATATATATATATACTCGTATGCACAAATCGCTCGCCTTGCTAACAAAAACTGAAGCACAAACTTGGCTGTGCTCGTCTCATTCACGATTTTCCCGGTTTCTGAATAATGTCTTTCAC